CAGACCATTACAGCTACTTCAAACTGAGCATGCCAGTGCGCTACATCCCAACTCATCATGGACTAGGCTAGCGCAAATGTTGTATTCCATCTCGATCTGGTAACTAAATATCTATTCCCAGCCAGGCAGTGGTGGCCCATGCCTTTAATCCCAGCACTCAAGAGGCAGAGGCAGGCAGATCTCTGAGTTCGAGGCCAGCCTGGTCTACAAAGTGAGTTCCAGGACAGCCAGGGCTATACACAGAAACCCTGTCTTGAAAAACAAAATAAACAAACAAACAACAACAACAAAAACCAATATCCCCACATAAACTCACTAGGTTCCTGACAAACTTGCAGTTCTTTTGAGTATAAATCATACTGTACTGAGTCTTACTTTATACTGACTTAACTGATGAAGGTACAGCATGGACACAGTTTACCAAAATGCACATGTTTTGTGAAGAACTAGAACAGAGGAGTTGAAGGGCTTCAACCACAAGGGTGTGGCAGGGAGACGGAATGCTAAGTGCCTGCTTGACCACTATGCAGGGTGTACACATGCATGCCTAATCATCAAGGGGATCCCACTAGAAAACCACAGTGAACATTGACTCCTCCTAAAATTATAACGAAAACAGGACCTTTTGGGCCTTGCTAAGGGCAGTGTAAAATAGCACAACCACAAAGAAAATTGACAGTTTCTTATGCACACTTACACTATGGCACAGCAATTACTCTCCTGGGAAATCATGCAAATGAAAGCATACGCCTATAAAAAGAATTTCGAAGAATGTACAAAGAAGCCTTATTCATAAGAGCCATCCACGTTCAGCATCAGAAGATGTTGCATCTATATTAATACATTGGAATGCAGCCTAGCTGTGTGCAAACACTAGCTCGTAAAGCATACAACATTATTCATTCAGCAATGTTGAAGACTAGCAAACCACTCACTCACAGAAGAGAGCATATTCTATGACTCCATTCAAGAACAAGCAATGGTGACAGGAACCAAAACCACAGCTGCCTGGCACTGAACATACATCTAAAGACTCCTTCCATAAAAAAATTAATTTCATCCTAAGCAACAGAAAATTTAAAATGTCTCTGAGAAACAACCAAAAATTATGGTTCTTACCACATTGTTTTGTGTGTGTGTGTGCATCTCATTTATAGTAAGTATATTTTATTTGTAAAATTAAAACATATAGCAAATGTCTCTACAGAACAAAAGCCCAAAAGATAATTTACAATTTTTTTCTGCAAAAATATCTGAGTTATAATAGTTTTTACTTATAAAATATCTGAAAAAAGGGGAACAAAATACAGCTTTGTGGCATATACTTTGTACTGTACATATACACCTAGCAAGGACTTTGTGTCTCCACCAGGTGGGAAAAGCAGCAGGCAGACCAATGCCACTGATAGATTTGCTCCAACTGTAATTCCAGTTCTGTGCCTCCTACGTGGTCGCCATGCAGAGAGTACAGACATCTCCCAAAGACAATTCACATTAACCAGCTTAGGAGACTGAAGCATAAAATACAAATACCAGCTTTCTGTGATATAATAAAAATAATTGCCACCTTCCAAGAATGCCTAAAGTCTATATGATCAGTGTGTGACTGATCTTCAAGGGAGATTAAAAAAAAAAAAAAAAAGAGGTTCTACCATCAGTTTGAGCTTTATAATTGTGTAAATACTTTCTTCAATAGTTCCAGTGACAAAATCATGATTCATTTTATTTAATAAGACCCTATAGACAATCACCTGTGTTTTTGCCCTATAAAATCAGGGAAATGAAATTGCTTCTTCAGTTTTACCAATTTCTTGAAAATCTCTTTGCATTTAATGGGGAAAAAAACCCACTGTTTTCTCAAGTTACATAGATAGCAATCTTCCTGATTACCAATGTCAGAAACCCAACTAAACTTGGTTTAAACTAAAAAGTAGACTCTGCTAATTCATGAAAACTCATCAATGTGTGTATGTGAAATAAGCCCATATTAAGCTGTTGGGGTAGGAGAGTAATGTAGTGATCCTGCTTTATCATTCTCTCCTGCTGTTTTCAGGGGCCCTCTCTGAATGCTTAATAGCCCATCTTCTCTCTCTAGTTATCTCATTCTGTCTGTTCTCAACAAAATATATGTACACTGGACCCCTAAGGTTGGTTCAATTAGGTTTCTTAAATTCAATTTGTTAGTGTAAAACTCACCCATCACAGAGAACTGAAGTGTGGGAATCATAGGGTTAGCTGAAGCTCCAGTGCCTAGTTGCCTGCCTGCCTTCCTCCTCCTTCTTTCCTTCTTCCTTCCTTCCTCCTTCCCTTCCTTTCTTCCTCCTTCCCTTCCTTCCTTCCTTCCTTCCTTCCTTCCTTCCTTCCTTCCTTCCTTCCTTCCTTCCTTCCACCTACCTTTACACTACTTTGACAAGAGATTACCTGTGGGATGACTCAGCCCTAACAGGCCTAAGGGCCAACTGGCCCAAACTGGTAATGAGAACAAGTGCATAAGGTACTTCCTGAGAGCCAACCTGTCCTTAGCAACAGCAGAGGAGCCATGTCTGAGATATGATCTGAGATGGCCTGGACCAATGAGAGGCAGCCATGTCACATCAGCACATGAATATTCATCAGACCTTCTCCCAGGGTGGGATGGAAGGTATTTAAGGCTTGCCTCTTCCTGAATAAACTGAGCTTGTTGTTTCAACCTGACTCCAGTGTCTTTGATTCTGTGCCTACTCACCCCCTCCCCCAAAGGGAACCTCACAGGACCCTACAACAATCACCTTCCCAACCTGTTTTTAGAAAAGAGGTCAAGCAGAGGGCTCTGCCTTCCTGTGTTCACTTCCTTCTCTCAAATAATTTCTGCATGCCCTCCTTTCATCCCTTACTCCATTTCCCTTGCTTCCATAATTCTGAAAAGGTGCTTCCTAACTTCTTGTTTCTTGCAACTGTTATTGAATGTAGGTTCCTCCCCACCCCCGCCCTTTTTTTGTTGGCTTAGATTGAGAAGAGGTAACTGCAGGACAAGGATCTGCTGTCTGCCTGCAAGTAAAGGGAGACAGAGGTAAGGACTCCAGTTCTGCAGAAAGAGGAGAAAGAATTGGAAGAGGATCTTCTAAAATCTAAAGCCCATTCATGACACTGCAAATTTCATTTAATACCCATATCTGGGATGGTACTGAATTTAAATTGTTTCCCTTTTTTGAAAATAGATTCTTTTCTCACATACTACATCCTGGTTATGGTTTGTCCTCCCTCTACTCGTCCCAGTTCCTTCCCACCTCCCCTCCCTTCTAGATCTAACTCCTTTCTGTCTCTCATTAGAAAGAAAATGGTAGTATAAGGAATAATTAAAATAAAATAAGATAAAACAAAAGCTAATGCATCAGAATTGGACAAAAACAAACAAACAGAAGGAAAAGAGCCCAAGAGAAGCCACAAGAAACAAAGATCTACTCATTCATACACTCAGAAATCCTTTCCAAACACTGAACTGGAAGGCATAATATATATGCAAAGGAAAAAAGAGAGAATATATGTGTGTGTGAGAGAGTGTGTATGTATGTAAGATCATTTTTTTAAAAAAGGGAAAGCCCTAACAAGATACTGTGAGACTAGAAACCTCTAAAGATCCTGCTGAGTTCCTTTTCTGTTGGCCACCTACTGCTGGGCATGCAGCCTACCTTTAAATGTCTAAAATCTAACGCGTAGTACTGGAACTGCAAATTTTGTCTAATGGCTCACATTTTCTGGGATTGCCACTGTAGAGCCATTAAAGGCACCTCCATTAGGACTTTTCTTTAAGTTATACCTTGAAATCAGCTTACTAACTAATCAGTTGATAGGCTTTTCCATGTATCCTTAGGCCACGGAGGTCTCCAAAACAACATAAGCTATTGCCATCGCTTATGATTATCCACCATAACTAAAGGGTAAGACCCTATTGCTGAAGACACCATGCACTGCAAAACACAGAGAAATCAATCTCATAAATTTCCTCCATGCTGGCTAGCTCTCACAGTGCCAGAAGCTGCCATACAGGTCGCTGCAGGGAGAAAAATATAAATGCTCTTGCCCAGTATTGGATCCTACATGCTAAAATACCTTCCTGCCAGGCAAATGTGCTCGCTAATGCAATAGTGGTATGGCTTTTATGGCACAACAAACCACTCTTCTAACTGGATTTGAGACCTGATCTACAGAGAATTCCTGCCTGACACTGTAAACCTCTCTACACGCCCATGGCTGAAGAGGTCATAGGCAAAAGGGTGGAACCTAATATTGTTATTTTTCTAAATTATCATGTTACCAAACTGTCTTCTAAATGGTTATGTCTACATCACAAATGTGGGCTTCTCCCAGCCTCAGTCAGAAAAGCTTCTATTTGTAGCAGGTAGAAGTCAATACAGAGCCTCATAAGTGACCCAAGTACTAAGAATAAATGACCGTGAATGCTCAGCCCTAAATGGAACACTTTTATCAATACTCCCCGCTCCTTCCTGGATACCACCACCACCAAGGCTCGAGAACATCACAGCAAAGGAGGCAGAAAGAATGTAGGAGCCAGCAGATGGGGAGGAGCGCCGAGAAACGCTGTCATCAGGACATGACTGTTGCATTCATGAACTCATAAACTCACAGCAGTTATGGTTACCTGCACAGGATCAAACCCATCAAAATTCCAGCATAGATGGGAAAGAAACCCAGGACTACCCCAAACTGGGGAGTTCTTGGCAGTTGATATCAGCTGGGAGGAGAAAAAACCTTCTTTGGGGGTGCGGCCCTGGTAGGCGGCCCACGCTCCAGCGGACGGTTGCTTGCCCAGGCACATATGGGCATCACTAGATGGACTTAGTTGGTGATTAAAGGGGAAAAGGAAGAAGAGGACAGGAAGTGGGGAGGTAGACATGTCAAGGAAAATATGGGGGAAATGAAGAGTGAATATGACCAGATTTCATTGTAAACACACAAAATTCTCAAAGATTAAATAAAAAGTAAAATCAAAAGCCAAGGAATCCTAAGAGCAACTGTAATATTTATTGGGTATTTAGGGGGTGTTAGGCATTGTTCTAAGTACATTTTGAATTTCAATTCACTCAATCCACAAAAAAATCTTACAAGAAATACTGGATGCTCCATTAGCTTTCTAGTGAGGGTAAAAGTATCCTAAAACAGACAAAGGGAAGGTGTCAAGGTGAGATCAGTGTGAGGATAAAATGAGAAGACAGAAAGTACCTGACACGCCCTGGTGCAGAATAAGCATTGAAGAAATAATTACTGTAAAAAAATTACCAGACACATCTCCACATGGATAGATTACCTGCTTTCTAGATGTCTTCTTCACATGAATGAATGTATAACTTCCTCCATTATTTAGGGGTCTTACCCCCAACAGAGTGTATAGCAAGTCCCATGGTCCTCTCCGGACATTCCTCGAAAATGTGCACATTATTTCCATCTTTTTTTCTTTGCTTTCCAGTGGAAGGCTGATTTTTCTTGTATTGTGGTTTCTGTCTAATCTTCAGTGTCCTGATAAGTTATTTCTTGTTTTACCAAAGACCTAACTTTTGAACCAAGAAACAGAAGAGAATTCCTTTGACTCTGCTACATATCCTTTTCCTCTAAAGCTTGGAATATGACTCATGACCACCATACTTCAAGAGTGCTTCTTGATTGTGAACATTTTATTCATATATAGATCTAACAACAAGTATAAGAAAGAGACCAATGTGCATTTAGGAATTTATGAAGATTTGACAATAATCAGTGAAACTTAATTTTGATATTTTGGTAACGGGGAGTCATTTTGAGTTAATATCTATGATGACTAATTCCATGTGTCACACTGGAAGGTGTTTTGGATAGGATTTGCATTTAAACCAGTGACCACTAAATAAAACAAATTACCTCAAAATTGGTAGACCTCATCCAATTAGTTGAAGGTTTAAATAAAACAAAAAGGTCTGTCTCCCTGAGCAAAAGGACCTTCTTCAGAATATTGCCTAGAGACTTTATCGGCACCATTGTCTGCTCAGGGTGTTAAGCTATTGAAGATTACAGGCAGGCCAGATTCATGATTCATGATCATGATCACATGACCCAATCAATCGCTTTTACAGACACACACACACACACACACACACACACACACACACACACACACACTCGTGATGAGCAGGTTTCATAGTACTAATGGTTGAGACTTCACATCTTCGTGCTTCTCAAATGCTTCCTCTGGCACACACCAGGGAGTGTCCGGTCTTTACTGTCTGCTTAGCTTTGTTCAGAGACTTTAAAAACAAAAAGAAATGGAGATCCATTAGATTTTGCTGCTTAAATCTACTTATGTGTGCATGACTCCTGCAATTCCATCTAACTTAATGTCAACCAAACTTAAACAAAATCAAAGTATTCTTCAGAGTCCTTCATTATGATACCTAGTGAAACTGATTTTTCTAATTGTTCATTAATCTTTTGCTTAATTTACTAAATATTGTTTAATGCCTTGTATACAATAAAATATCAAAGATAATTAATTGGTAGTTTTAAATTTCATAAAAGGAAAAACTTCTTTTATTTAAATTAGTTGATAAGCATTCATTTATAGGATGACTGTTATCACATTTCCAAGAATGTGATAACAAACTGACTTTTATAATTCTTCAGTATTTTTCCAGTGAATTGTGTCTGGTTTTAAGATCTAAAAGCATGGTTTGTTAGATGATAATTCACTTTAGGAAATATGTCAGAACTACTACATTATCTACACAGAAAGTTTATCTCATTCATTATTTCTGGACATACATTCTATAAGCCATTAGATGTGGATTACCCACCAGAGTGAGTACTGAGAAGATACCAGAGAGAACCGGTTCCAGAGGCAGGCAGACCTCTTAGTTCCAGGCCACCTGGTCTACATAGTGAATTCCCAAACAGCCAGGGTTACATAGTGAAACCTTATCTCAGAAAACAAAACAAAAAAAGACCTTGTGTACAAACTCTTGTCTATAACTCAGTTCAAAAATTGCCATTTCCTTCTGCACTTTCATACCCAAATTCCTTTGGCTGCAAAACATAATCTCAAATATTATAAAGCTTTTCTGTTTATAATTTTATTGTTTTCACTTGATTTGAAATTATATATATTACTGTCCATGTGTTGGTATGCTTAGCTGGAAGGTGCTACAGCCACTGAAGATGTTTTACAATAATGGTGTTTGTATCATTTTTACATTTCCAAAAAGTGGAAGGGAGGGGAATATGATTCTGAAATACTTTTGATTCTAAGCATTGAAAACAGAAGTTATGAAATTAGGAATGAGGAACTAGCTTAATTGATGAAATGCTTGCTATTGATAACACAGACCTGAGTTTGAGCCCCAGAACCCAAGTAAAAAGAAAGACACTAGGTGTAGGGGAGGTAGAGACAGGCAGATCCCTAGGATTCACTGGCCAACCAGCCTAGCCAATTGGTGAGCTGGTCATGAGAGACCGTGTCTCAAAAAACAAGGTAGATGTCTGCTGAGAAGTAAGAGTGAAGGCTGACTTCTGGTCATCATACATACCTGCATACACAGGCACATCCACATATACACCCCCCACAGGAATACCTACATACATACATATACCTAAAAATAAATAAGTAAATAAATAATGAATTTGTGAAATTGTTTCTAAAAAGTACATCACCAGATTTGTTTATAAGTGTCAGCGTTTAGCTAGTCCTTACCAAGGGCTCCTTATTCTCAGTATTGGCACCAAACCCAGACACTTAGCACATTCAAGATGCTCTACTGTGAAGCCACATTTCAAACCTGCTCGAGAACTTTTCTAAAATTAATACATATAGCATTAGTTTTTAGAAAGCTTCCCAGATGAGTTTGACGTACATCCAGGTTTGAGAACTAATTTAATCTCAAAGCTACATGTGGAATGACAGGATACTTATGAAGTGACTTTGGGAGTGTGAAGTAGAGAAGATGATTTGTAAAAGGGATGGGATGTAGAAACTATGACCAGAAGTCAGATCAGAAAGTGATTCAAGTAACTTAAAATAGTCGGTGATCAAGAAAAGACTTTGGCAAAGTGCATAGAATTTTAAACTGTAAGATTTGATCTTGTCTCTGTAGTTCCAAGAAGTAAGTCATATTCTAGTTCAACAAATGTATACTAACTACTCCATTAACTCAAAGATCTGTACCAGAGATTTTCAAATGTACACAAATTTAATTTTCATTTCATGTTCTTCTTACCATAGTATTATGAGGTAGGCATTATGTATGTTTTATAAATGAGGAAACTGAAACCTAATAGAAATAAAATGTTTGTTTGTTTGTTTAACCCAAGATCACAAATATTCAGAGGAAGGTTTTCCAGACACATTTATTGTCCTTTACATTATTCTCCTCAAGAAAAAAGGCACAAGAAGTCAGTTCTAGGGGTGTAATTAGGAAAAGCAACCCCAGCCTTTAGGACTTACTTGGGAATGGCATGGACAGACATGAGATACAGTGGCTTTTCCTTTATTGAGGGGATCAAACAAATGAACGTAACTACTAGGAAAAACTATTGTAGAAGGATTTCAATGACAGATAACATACCAAATGGCAGATATCTTGAATCTCTTCCAGCTTTGGAACCCTTAAATCCAGGGCTTAAGTACATAAAAGCTACACAACAAATCAGGATACACCTAAGAAGAAAATATGTGAGTGAGCAACAGGAATTTCTCTAGAGAGAGGACTCTGTAACCATGTGCTCCAGAAATTACTTCCTACCTTGGAAAATGTCCCAAAGATGGCTTGGATTTGGAAAGGGGACTTCAGGAGAGACTGTTAGCACAGAATCCAGAGGTCTATTTATGATACATCAGACAATTCTGTGTAGAAGGCTTCCATAGAGACAAGAATAAGGTATAATAAGGGGGCCCCTGTGGTGATATTGTGTTCCCCAAAATATTGTGCACCCTAATAAACTTATCTGGGTTCAGAGAACAGAACAGCCATAATATTAAACACAGAGGTTAGACAGTGATAGCACAAGCCTTTAATCCTAGCATTCCAGAGGCAGAGATCTGCCTGGATCTCTGTAAGTTCAAGGCCACATTGAAAACAGGCAGGCATGGTGACTCATACCTTTAATCCCAGGACGTAATGGCAGGAGGCAGAAAGGTATTTAAGGCATGAGGACGAGGAACCATAGCCTGGTTAAGCTTTAAGGCTTTTAACAGTAGTTCAGCTGAGATCCATTTGGATGAGGACTCAAAGGCTTCCAGTCTGAGGAAACAAGATCACCTGAGGAATTGGCAAGGTGAGGTAGCTGTGGCTTATTCTGCTTCTCTGATCTTTCAGCATTCACCCCAATACCTGGCTCCAGGTTTGTTTTTATTAACAAGACCTTCTAACAATTCATGCTACAGGCCCCTGCGAGTGTCATGGCAGGCAGGGAAAAAATCTTCCAAGAGGTGAGAATGAAAACTCGGTTTAGCAAACCAAACTAGTGGGAACTCATGAAATTTATGGGACTGGACTAGGCCCTCTCCATAAGTGAGATAGTTGTGTAGCTTGATCTGCTTAAAAAGCCCCCTGACAGTAGGATCAGGATACATCCCTGGTGTGTGAGCCATGGCTTATTTTTTATATTAATTTTACTGTCTCTTTAAAGACTTTATTTTTTAAAACTATGTATTTGTTTATATAACCGTATATATCACCTTTTTTGTCTCTTTCAAGCCTACGTATATTTTACACACATTGTAAACTATTACATCTGAATCTGGATTGTGTTGTCTTTGGGATTTTTAACTGCAGAAAAACATTTGATTGTAAAAGCTGTTGAGTTATGCCAAAATGTATATTTTAAAGGTATCTTGACTTCAAAATTTGGATATAAGGATATGTTACTTTGAAAGGAGACTCTGCTTTTGTTCCCACAGAAAGCCAGAGGCTATGGATTTGTTCCAGATTAAGATACATCAGGTTTGACCAGCCAAGACCACCTGAAAGGTCTCTGATGACACCATGGCCCAGATGATCCAACATTCAGAATGGTTTCAAGGCAATTGGCTCAGACGATACAGCCTCATGGACTACTCCATGATCCTAAAATTTTCTTTGTGTCCCCATAAGATACAGCGCCCCCTTCCAGCAGGAAGTAGTAAGAGAAGCTACGCCCAAATTCCCAAATTATATGTAATTTTACTTTGTTAAGGTTAAAACCTTCCTTTTTGAAAAAAAAAAGGGGGGGGGAGTGTTGTGGGATGTTCTGTATGGCAAATGTGTTGCTCTGATTGGTCAATAAATAAATCACTGAATGGTCAGTGGCTAGGCAGGAAGTGTAGGTGGGACAAGGAGGAGAATAAAGCTGGGAAGTGGAAGGCTGAGTCAGAGAGACACTGCCAGTCACTGCCATGACAAGCAGCATGTGAAGATGCCAGTAAGCCACAAGCCACGTGGCAAGGTATAGATTAATAGAAATGGATTAATTTAAGCTATAAGAACAGTTAGCAAGAAGCCTGCCACGGCCATACAGTTTGTAACCAATATAAGTCTCTGTGTTTACTTGGTTGGGTCTGAGTGGCTGTGGGACTGGCAGGTGAGAGAGATTTATCCTGACTGTGGGCAAGGCAGGAAAACTCTAGCTACAACTACCTATGGTGGGACACCTCACACAGCCTTGGGGGGGCGGCTTGGACCTGCCTCTACTGACTGTACCAGGCTCTGCTGACTCCCCATGGGAGGCCTTACCTTCTTGTAGGAGGAAATGGGGGGTGAGTTGGGGGTGAAGGCTGGAGGGACAGGGGGAAGAAAGAGGGGATCTGTGATTGGTATGTAAAATGAATAAAAAATTTCTTAATAAAAAAAGAAAAAGAAAACTTGGTTTAGAATGACTTAGGCTGGATCAAACTTTGGGAGTCTGATGCAGGCCATTTATTGCCATTACATTTATAAACAGTACAATTTGGAAAAAAAGTTTCCTGGTGTAATACAATCTCTGGTGCACAAGGAGGCATAATTACATTGAAATTTAGCTCAAAGTACACATCATTCCTTCCAAGAAGATGGGTTCTAGAAATAGGCCAGGGAAGCATCTGGCATGATCTCAGTCATGCAGATAGCACAGAGGTCATTTGGACTATTAGCCATCTCCAGTCTCAGTTGTGAGAGCTTGGGGGAGCCCCTGGCTATACAGATAATGAAAGGGTCATTTAGACTATTAGCCATCTCTGGTCCTAGTTGTGGAAGCTTGATATGGCCTGGCCCAACAGATAACGCAGATCACCAGGCTGTTAACCACCTCCAATTCCTTGCCTTCTGAATGGAAGAACAAGACACTACTGTATGATTAACATTCCTGGTGTCCTTGGAGATCTGTGGGCAAAAGGACCTTTGTGCTCCCAACAGTATAAGATTAGAAAAACAGGAATGGCCAGGGTGGCTCTGAGTATTTTTGTTTTTGTTTTTGTTTTTTATTTTGCATATATGTGTACGTATGTATACATGCTTATGTGGGTGCATATGTTTGTGTACGTACATGTGTACATCTGTGTGGAGGCCAGAGGTCAACATTAGGTGTATTTTTTTTTCAATTGTTCTCCATCTTATTTTAGAGACAGGGTCCTGTAACTCCCTGACTAGGCTAGGCTGGCTATCTAGTGGGCCCCTGGCATCTGCCTATCTCCACCTCCCCAGCACTGGGATTATAAATGTGCACCACATTGTCTGGAATTTCTATGAGTTTTATGAATGTATAGCATAAGTCACTTTTTTGAAACTATATTTCTTAGAACAAATATGAAGTCTCTAGAAGACGTACTCTGTAACACTGAACAAGGGTTTCAGAATGGTAAAATTGCTAGCAATTTCTTTATAGCTATTAAGATACAATTTTCTATCCCAATGAATTTATTCTACAAAAAGAAAGTAAAGACATTTTTTATTCATGAAGTCAGGAGAAGAACTAGCCTGACATCACACCACAACCTGGGTTTCAAGAGAAACACTGCCAAGCTGGTGGGTTATGAAGGTGTAAACCAGAATTACTGGGGGAGAATGGTGGAAATAAAGGAAGTAAAGAACAGATAATAGCAAAGGCATGTCTCCTGTTAATCTGTGTGCCTGAGTAACATAAAAGAAAAGCAGAAATACCTAGCATGTATCCTTCCTTTTTATGAGGCCAGCAGCAAATCATTTTGACTCTTTAACATTACCCTATAATATTATTTTTATTACTGAGGTGTATGTGTGTATTCTTTACATTTTATTTCTTTTTTATTTTATTTTTCTTTATTAAGAAATTTTCTACTTACTCCTCATGCTATCCACAACACCCCTCCTCCCTCCTCCCTCCTCCCTCCTCCCACCCCCCAGCCCTCTTTCCCAAGCCACCCCACATCCCCACATTCCCCAAATCAAGATCTCCCATGGGGAGTCAGAAGAGCCCAGCTCACTGAGCCTAGGCAGGTCCAAGCCCCTTCCCACTGCACCAAGGCTGTGCAAGGTGTCACACCACAGGCACCAGATTCCCAGAAGCCTGCCTATGCACCAGGGACAGATCCCGATCCCCCTGCCTGGGTGCCCCCCAAACAGTTCGAGCCAAACAACCATCTTCCGTGTCCAGAGGGCCTAGTCCAGTCCCATGGGGGCTCCACAGCCACCAGTCCACAGTTCATGGGCTTCCACTAGTGTGGACGGTCATCTCTGCACGTCCTCCCATCATGATCTCCACGTCCCTCGCCTGCAGTATCTCTCCTCTCTCTCATCAATTGGATTCCCGGAGCTCAGCCTGGTGCCTGGCAGTGGATCTCTGTATCTGCCTCCATCTGTCACTGGACAAAGGCTCTATGATGACAGCTAGGTTATTTGCTAGGCTGGTCACCAGAGTAGACAGGTCCAGGCACCCTCTGGACCACTGCTAGCAGACCAAGGTGGGGTCAACCTTGTGGATTCCTGAGATCCTCCTCAGCACCCTGCCTCTTCCTATTCCCATGATGTCCTCATCTATCATGGTATCTTGCTCCCTGCCCTCCCACTCTGTCCCTGTTCCAGCTTGACCCTCCCATTTCCCTATGTTCTCATCCCCCACTCCTCACCCTCTGCCACCCCCCCACAACCAGTCCACTCATGTAGATCTCATCCACTTCTCCTTCACAGGGTCATCCATGTGTCCCTCCTAGGGTCTTTTCCTGTTAGCTAGCCTCTCTGGAGTTGTGGGTTGCAGTCTGGCCATCCCTTCCCTCCCATTTAGTATCCACTTATGAGTGAGTACATACTATGTTTGTCCTTCTGAGTCTAGGATACCTCACTCAGGATGATATTTTCTAGATCCATCCATTTGCCTGCAAATTTCATGATATCATTGTTTTTTACTGCTGAGTAGTACTCCATTGTGTATATGTGCCATATTTTCTTTATCCATTCTTCAGTTGAGGGACATCTAGGTTGTTTCCAGGTTCTTGCTATTACGAATAATGCTGATATGAACATAGTTGAGCATGTGTCCTTTATTTCTAAGGCAAATGTCTGTCTTTTTGTATACCCTAGAATATCATACACTAGATGGCTTAAATGACAGATACTTACTGACTCACAGACTGGAGATTACAAGTCAATTCAAAATGTCAGAGCCAGTTCATTCTGAGAGGTGTGCTGGAGAATCTAGTTGATGCCTCTCCCTAGCTCTGCCCGCTTGCTGGAAGTGGTTGGCATTCCTTGGCTTATAAGGGGCTCATGACTCCAGTGTTTCTATTCACAGTCACATATGTTGTACCAAGTGTGTATCTCTCCATTTCTCCTTTTCATGGAGACACCAATTATATTTTATTAAAAGATCCATATGAATCAGGGGGCTAAAATTACCATTAGAGGTTCATGCTGGAATATTACTCCATCTTAACAATCACCGCCATGTTAGGATAGTTCAGTTGGCAACAGAAAGTACATGTGACAGGACTCAGAAAGGATTAGGATTGGTCTACAATTTCTGGCCTCCTTTTGTCTAGGTTAAATTCTGTATTTACCTAGAAACAAATATCTCATAGGCTAGAATGTGTACTCACCTGAACATTTCCTGTTTCCACTCCATTCTATCTAAGTCTTACAATTTGTGCCCTGGAAAGAAAGGAAACAAAGAAAAAGTCAGAGCTACTTGTACTTTGGGATTCTTAAAAATCGTAAGAAGTGCCCCATACCATCACCTAATCATGCATTTGTCTAGACTTTATCACTCATATCCAGTCTTCAGGAAAAATGGAAGCGACTTCAAGTTGACCTTACTTCTCTAGAGCTAACAATGAGTAACCTTAACAGGTATGCCTTTACAGGTATGTTTAAATTCAACCCTCACCAAGTCTATTCATGCAATACAGATGTGAAAACTGAGGCTTAGAGTTCCCACAGCCAGTGGGTGGGAAAGTTAGAACTTACACCTGATCTAGCTTCCTCACCACCCTGAGATCTGATGCTCCACCCTGCATCATGGCTGTACATCTTAGATGTAGTTCTAGGGCTTCATCTGATAGTGCAGACTGATCATGATGCATAAAGGGCACTCAAACAAATGTCACATCCATACACAGAGTCTATCCAATGGGTCCCCCAAGGATCTATCATTATCATCATGTTAATTGTTGCACAAGTGGGTCTGGTACAGAAGTAATCATGGCCCTGTCTTATTCCAGCTCTCTTTCCATGAGATGAAGGCCCTGATCAGATACAGCTCCCCCACATACTTCCTGGTCAATCTTGGGCTTCTGAGCCTTCACAGCTGTGGTCAAGTAGATGTCTACTCTTTATAAATTATCAGTTCTCAGGTCTTCTGTTATAGCAACACAAACTAGACTAAGAAAAGTTCCTTGTTTGTGTTGTCAGAGAGGCCATGTAGTATGTAGGTTTTTGTCTCATCTCTCATCAAGATCTTTGCACAGATGGTTAGTCTGCAGGAGAGTTTAGATGGATGATATATAAATAAGTAAAATTCACAAATATTTTTCATTCTGATATAATTAATGCTTTAATGAAACCACTTAATGAAGTGCAACAGATAGAAGAACTTGTATCTCTATAACATAATTATTCAAGGAGTAAACATCTGGAGCATTGAATAATGATGTCCTAGGGCCGAGCAGAAGGAAAAAAGACAAATGAGAGGGACATGTAAAGCCTGAAAATTCCAAACCACACTGTAGCATCTCTCTCTCTCTCTCTCTCTCTCTCTCTCTCTCTCTCTCTCTCTCTCTCTCTCTCTCTCTCTCTCTCTCATTCTTGAAGGAAGAAGCAGCAATAAAATTAAACAGGGAAAACACATGGGCCTGCCTCCTTGTTCATTTATTGGTTGCTGTTTTTTCATGACAACGTGTAATTAGACATGGTAGCCCTCAGAAAAACCATGGCTAATATAATAAGGCCTATCCTTTATCTTTTCAGTAAGCCATTCCATTCCAAATTAATTCACTTGCCATCATTGAAGTCTTAATATTGTCATTTTTTTAAAAAAATCTTTGCTACTGAATGTCCTAGAATATAGTTTTCTGTCTGCTCTTTTCAGGATAGGAGAATAAAATGTCCCCACTTAAAAAACTCTCCTTTCCCATCCCTGACACTTCTCTTTTTTTATTTTTTTTGGTTTTTTTGAGACAGGGTTTCTCTGTGTAGCTTTGTGCCTTTCCTGGAACTCACTCGGTAGCCCAGGCTGGCCTCGAACTCACAGAGATCTGCCTGGCTCTGCCTCCCGAGTGCTGGGATTAAAGGTGTGCGCCACCACCACCCGGCCCCTGACACTTCTTTATAGTCTCACAGTACCCATTCTTCCCTTTCATTACACCGTTTACTGTCAGGCTTTATGCTCATAACCTCCCAAAGATGCATGAGTTGCCTTTAAGGTTTTTGTTTTAACCAAATAAAAAGTTTAGAACCATTGTGGAGTTTTGAAATAGAATATAGAATGAAAATTAAGCACGAAAATGTCTTACTATAAAATTTTGTTCTCACAAAGGAGACAACCGCCCATTCTGTGATGTGTTCTTCCTTCCTCGTTATATTATTTTTGATGGGCTGTCTACAACTAGACTCAAGAAATAGCCTCTTTCTTGGGAAAGTGAATTTATCCTTGAGCAGTAACCACTAAGCTCTCTTCATTACATACAAAGAAGGCTGTAGAACTCAATCTCCAATTTCTAATCATTTCGACCTCTTTATTCCCTCCTTCCTGGGTAACTGAAATAGGACTATCACCAAAGAAGAAACTACTCAAGAAGAAATTAAGTGTTCCTGAATTTTTTAGAAGCCTTATGAATAATAAATATATAAATCTCCATGCAATAAAATAATTGACAGCATTAAATCTTTACTATTCACCTTTTAAAATTCTATTTGTAAACTTTTCATTATTATTATATACAATGTATTTATAATTATGGCAGTAATTTCTAGGACTTTCAGGCTTTCCTGCAACAGGCAAAATCATGACTTACAAACTGTTAATATTAACAATATTGGAAGAAGTCCTTCCTCTTTTGAAGGGAAATGATATATTATCATTTAATGAATAAGCATCATTTTTTCAAATATAGAAAATATGTTACTAAAATAATAGCAATTTTCCTAAGTAGAAAATTTTAAAATGTCCATGATCACAGCTAGAAAACTCAGTCCATTCCAGAGTTTTCTGATCCTTTGAGAGTTTTCTAGAATACAGTATGAAAATAGACAAGAGTCTACCAGGTAGGTTCATGGTATTGACAACATGAGAACAGCTAACAGGACACTTCAATCCTGTCTTGGAAGGAAACATGAAAGGTTCATGTATGGGTGAAGAATCTGCCCACATATTATTCTTTCAATGCTGCATTATTACCATAAACATCTTTTATAGTAAATACTGGTCTATAAAAAGGAGACAGGACAATCTAACGATTTAGTTTTCATCTGTAATTCTAAGATAGTGTCCTGGCAAGGAAAGGGGCCTCAACCGGTAATCTCACCTCTGCATGGTGTTCCGGCATCTGCACAGCCTTAGCCATTAGCTCTAGAATTTTCTCCAGATAGATCAAAGCACTCCTGGTAACAAATCATAAGGAGCATTGCTCACATCAATGTGTTTCCTTCCCAAGATTATAGATATAGATATATCTCAAACTTACATAAAAGCAATACAGAAAAACAAAAGAAAAAGAAACACACCTGAAGGTATAGACAATATATTTCCCATCTTCAGACTTGTGTTGCTTAAACTGAGGTCAGGATTTCTACTTGAAAAACCTGTTTTAAAACAATCCATGGACAGGAAAGATGGCTCAGCTGTTAAGAGTGTATACTGCTCTTGAAGAGGTCCCAAGTCTGATTCAGGGGGACCTATTGATTCTGGCCTCCATGGACACTTGCATTCACATGCACATACTGCCACAAAGCCACACATAGAGATGCATACTAAAATTAAAAAATAAATCTTTTTTTAAAAGCTTAATTCATTTTTACAGAGGCAAGTCTCCCAGACACCAATCTACCCAGCTTATACTCATCCCTTTCCTCTCTCCTAAAGGAAACAAATCTATAGCCAGATTAGTAAGCTGAAAACATACAGTTGGTCACGCTTAAAAATATAAAGTTGACTGCACATTTAAAATACATAAGCTGTAAGGAAAAAATTCTCTCTTGTCATTCTTGTTTCTTGGGGCTAAATATAAATGAATCTGAATTACCCCCAAGGAAAGGAAGGCGCTGCCAGGCCTTAGCTATTAAAGGTATGGCTACCCAGAGGACTCCAGCATACCAATATATAGACAGGGGTTGGAAGGAACAGGTTTAGACAAACGCTTGTATAGTAAACAATCATAAATTGGAGTATGTGCAGAGGAAGGTAATCCTCTGAGACACACTGACCTAGGCTATGTAGAGCAAATAAACTGCCCCCCGGCTAACAGCTCTTCACTCGCCTCCCCCATTACTGAAAACTGAGCTGTAGTGCAAGGTAGCAGGTATGCCAAAGGTCAAAAATTGATCCCTTCGGCTGGTCAGACCCAAGCATGTCTTCCATAAGGACAATGAATCCATCAGTGTTTTTATCCTTACCCACAACAACCAGAGTAAGTTGCTCTGGCTCACTTCCCTGTACCATCCTCAGGCCACCACGGCACTCCAGGAACTTTGTGTGAACCGACGGCCCGAGGTTAACAAGGGTTGTGGGGAGAGAAGGGATCCATGATATAATTTGCCCCAGGTCCTGCACCAAAGGCTGCCTGCTTCCTGGAACTGATCATAAGAGGCACAACCAATAACACCTTACCCAGGCTTTTGAAATTCTTCAGGGGTCAACTGGCATAGACTCTTGAATTTTACACTCGAGAAGTCGACTCAGTCTTGATTTTAGTTCCAAAGTTCCAGTAATGAAGAAAATACTTTCTTCTTTTTGAGGAAATTCACTAACCAATTGGCATTTCACATGTAATATCACTTAGGATAAGTTGAGAACTGAAGAGGAGAAAAGCCTTCTCCTTAATAATCAACCAGTGATCCCTGAAATACTCAGGCATTCATTCAATCAATACACTTTCTTCCTCCTATCAGCTGAGAGACAAAATGCCATTTAAATATATGTGAGTGCAAAATGTTAATAGGATAAGTGGGAAACCAACAGAAGTATACTAAGATATGACTGTGCTGAATTTTAATTGGAAAACTTCTAATACAGAAAAATCAACAGGGAAAGCCAATGAAAAACACCAACAGCCCACGTATAACTGTGTGTATGTTTCTAGGAAGTTTCTCATGAGACATTAATTTTTAATAAGAGGGTGGCCATGGCCTTCTTAGTGTGTGTGTGGGGGGGGGTTGTTTGCTGTGCTCCCTCCAGAAAGGGAGAGTCATTTACTATACTTACTCCTTAGACATGTCGTGCTCCCTGCTGTGCTCAAGTACTGTCGCAGTCTAGAGATTTTGGAAACTCTGGGGAATGTGACAAAGTTCTTCTCCTCACAGAGTATACTTGTGAGTTGAGAAAACAACAAGAAGTCAATCAGATACTTCAACAGTTAACATTATGAAGAAAATAAATCGGGTCAATAGACAAACCTCAGAAGACAGATTTAGGGATGACCTGAAAGCCAGACTCACGTCAGGGCAAAAAGATGTCAGGTGCTCTGCCAGGCCAAAGCTCGTGAAGTGATGGTAGATATTAAAAGAGATGGTAGATACAAATCCAGCCGGCAGAGATGGCAGACATTAAAGAAGCAGGCAGGACCATATCCTAAGGCATCCCTTAGAGCTGGCAAAGACTGTGCCTGTTATCGTATGGGAAGTGCGGAACTGAGGAGAGTGGGCACAGAACAGGATCCAGAATCACTTACATATTTTTAGATGCAGACAATACTTCCATGTCAGACAACAGGATACATCAGAAATATTAATAATATAAGAGCAAATAATCCAACCAGTGAATGGCCAATTGAATCAAACACAGACTTTTAAAATAAATACTTAAAATGGCCAATAAATGCTATTGTAGAATATTATTTTAAGGTGTGTTACTTTTGTTTATGTTGCATTTGTTTAACTCTGTGAAGCTGTGTTACTGTGCCTGCCTAAAACATCTGATGGTCTAATAAACAGCTGAACAGCCAATAGCAAGGCAGGAAAAAGGATAGGCAGGGCTGGCAGGCAGAGAGGATATACAGAAGGAGAAATCTGGGGAAAAAAAGAAGTAGCCAGAGGAGGAGGACACTGGGGGCCAGACACCCAGCTACACAGCTAACAATGGAGTAAGAAAGAAAGAAAGTTATACAGATATAGAGAAAGGTAAAAGCCCAGAGGCAAAAGATAGATGAGTTAATTTAAGTTAAGAAAAGCTGGCTAGAAATAAGCCAAGCTAAGGCCAGGCATTTATAATTAAGAATAAGTCTCCATGTATTTGGGAGCTGGGTGGCAGGCCCCCCAAAAGAGCAAAACAACCAACTACAAAATGCATAAATAAATGTTCAGCATCTTTAGCCACCAGGGAAATGCAAAACAAAATGGCATTGAGATTCCATTTCACCCCAGTCAGAATGGCTACCATTGAGAAAACAAAATATACTAAAAATCATGCAGGTGTAGGAAACCTTTAAATGCTGTAATGCTGTTGGTAGGAGTATAAGTTGATCCAGCCACAACGAAAATTGGTATGGAGATCCCTCAAGAAAATAAAACTAGAGCTACCATATACTGCTACTATACCATGACTGTGCATACACCTAAAGGAATCAAAGACAGCATAAAATAGAGATGCCCATGTACCCATGTTAATTATGGCTTTGTTCATAACAGGCAAGACATAGACTCAGCCTAGGTGCCCACCAACAGATGAATGGGTAAAGAAAATGTGTCTTGTATACACAATGAAATATTTTTCAGCCAGTAAGAAGGAAATTGTGTTATTTTCTGAAAAATATGTGGATTTGGAGCCACCAACCTAACTTAAGTAAACCAGACTCAGAAAGACAAATATATATCTTTCTAATGTACAATATTTTGATACAGTTTATTATTTTACATTTTCACATAATTTATTCGGATCATATTCACCCCCTACTACTCTAACTAGCTCTCCTTCCACCAAGTCCCCAGCACCCCCAACTTCAATCCTCTTTTTTTTTCATAAATAACCTGCCAAGTCCAGTCTGTGATATTCGTACACTCTTGAGTGTGGGTCCATCCACGGGATCATGGTAGACTTCCCTGAGACCACACACTTGGGAAAACTGACTCTCCACTGACGTTTGCCTGAGGTTGGGACCACTACATCAGTATTTGTTCAGCCTGCGGCAATTCTGGGCAAGTGAGAGCTGCAGTAAAAACGTCTGAGCCTCGCCTTTCCGCCTCTCACCTGCACCATGGACAAGCTGGCTTCCTACCTATTATCTATACCAGCAATTCTTTTTAAAAATTAACAAAATTAAAATTAGCAAAGATAAAATGTGAGATCCTCCATTATTGTTTTCTAAAAAGAATGCACATATGTTCAAATGTCAAATATTATGTCCCCCATGGTTATAGCTACTTTATAGTCATCTTCACAATTTGTTTATACATGGGGTGTATAGGCATTCCATAAGATCTAGCCCTCTCAGTGAGTGACAGTTAATGGTACCAGATTTGTTCCAGCCTCCTGGTGCATCCCCAACATAAAATAGTAATGTATTTGTGTCCAAAGCAATTCATGCTATTAGTAGCATTCCCCAATACCAATGTCAGACTCAGTCTACCCAAAATGAAGGCCTGCCTCTGGCATGGTGGCCACTTTGCCTGTTCAAACAAATTTACTGCAGTTCTCATGTCTCAGTAAAACTGACATAAGCAACTAAAGCTCTGGCTCATCCCATCTCCACTCGGACTACATACATATGGTCTAGGCACCGCAGTTGCATCATAAAGATAAACTTCTTGCCCTTCAGGGATTGCTGACTGCCTTCCCACCTCCCTGCCCCCAAGTCACACTGCTATACTAAATCGATGTCCATGAGTCATTTCCTAAAGCCATCCCAAGTCTCCAAATTCATGCCAGCTAGAAGTGAGTTGTCAAACCGAGGAAGCCAGCCTAATCCAGGCTTATAAAATATCATTAAGAAGCAGCATCCTCTACGCCCACACTGGGAGGTGCCAGAAGCTGCTGAACGGAGCTCACAAGAGACATTTCTAAGGACACAAAGGCTGGATCTATGACAGTAAATTCACTACACAAAAGTCCCTGCTACCCATCTGTCAGGATTTGCTGTTTACTATGGACTGATGACATTTGGATGTTTTTGACTTTATCTCTTTCCAAATGCAAGCACATTTCCTGCTTCCTTGTCATTGCATGTGATTGTGCTGGAAGCGTGGAACTTTTATTTAAATTTATATGTCACTGGAACTTGGGAGCACCAGGAGGCTTGATAGAAAGAAATGAATGGAGAGCTTGGCCTTTAAGAGAGTGAGAGGTATGTTATGAGTGTACTCTAATTTCTGTACCATTGCTTGAAATAGCTGTTATACTTCTTAAGTTTTTTTAAATTTATTTATTTATTTATTTATTTATTTGGTTTTTTCAAGACAGGGTTTCTCTTTGTAGCTTTGGAGCCTGTCCTGGATCTCACTTTGTAGACCAGGCTGGACTCTGACTCACAAAGATTTGCCTGGCTCTGCCTCCCAAGTGCTGGGATTAAAGGCGTGCGCCACCACAGCCCGGCAACTTTTTTTATTCTTAATGTTTGCCAACCCAAGAGGTATAAAGCTATATAACAATGCTAAATTGGCTTGCAATTTGTATCTGTTAAATGCATTGAAATGTTTTTTAATATAGTTGCTGGTTATTTAGATATGCTCCTTTGAGATCTGCATATGCACATTATGGTTTTTTATTGAGTTTTGGGAGTTACTAAGCTATAAGATCTCTATATCTGTTATAGTCATAACCCCTCATCTTTTGCTTTGTAAATGTTTGTTCCAAATCTAATGAGTATCTGCAGACTTTGCTCAGAGATTTCTTCCATCTTATAAATTTTTGTTGTTTATTTTCTCAGATACGTCTTTTAAAAAATCTTATAACTTTTTTTTTTTTTTTTGGTTTTTCGAGACAGGGTTTCTCTGTGTAGCTTTGTGCCTTTCCTGGGACTCACTTGGTAGCCCAGGCTGGCCTCGCACTCACAGAGATCCGCCTGGCTCTGCCTCCCGAGTGCTGGGATTAAAGGCGTGCGCCACCACCGCCCGGCTAACATTTATTATTATTATTATTATTATTATTATTATTATTAATAGTTTCCCCCATGAATTATATCTAAACTGTCTCACAGATATTTTTCTAGACTCCTTACCACTATATAAACCTTTTAACTGTAATTAATCTTGTGTGTATGATATGTAGGGATTCAGTTTTATGGCCCTACAGATGGACATTTGTGACAACACCAACTGTTGAATTATCCTTTTCCCTGTACTGACATATCTTGTAATATGTTACAGTCTCACATTTCCTGAACTATGGCTGGATGAACCATTTATCTATACCTGTACCAGTTCAACATGGCTTGAGTCATGCCCACTTCACATTGTGTCCTGGTACCAGGAAATCTCTTCATTGTCCTTCTTTTAATTATGTGCTTTATTATTTAATAGGACTCAGTAGTCAAGAATACTTGCTGTTCTTACAGAGGACTTTACTTATTTATGTTTCATTTTCTTCCATTTGAGATTTAAGATCATCTTATCCAGTTCCAAAATCAAATTCAAGAAGGTATACTAATTGGGATTGCATGAAATGTATAAATTGATTTGAGATTAGTTTTTTAATAATTAAATCTTAAATATATTTATTTTAGGTTTATGTGTTTTGCCTGCATGTATGTATGTGCACCATCAGTGTGCAATGCCTTTGAAGTCCAGAAGAAGGGTCTGAACTCATGGAACTGGAGTTAAAAATTGTTGTGAGCCAATATGGAGATTCTGGGAACTGAACTCAAGTCCTCTGCAAGAACAGCAAGTGTTCTTTACCCTGGGCCCTGCTAAGTTTCTTATCCAAGAATATAGTATGCATTTTAAATTACTCAACCTTGATTTTCTGATGCCTATAACATTCTAAACATATAATATCTAGAAATTACTATACTTTTCTTCAAATAGATTCTCATTTGTTAATTCTTTTAAATATAAATTTTGGCTGGAAAGATGGCTTAATGCTTAAGAGCAGTTACTGCTTTTCCAGATGACACAAGTTCAGTTCCCAGCATCCACATCATGTGATTCACAACTGCCCATAACTGCAGCTCCAAGGCATTTGGCTCTCTCTTCTGACCTATGTGTGTGGGTACCTGCATGTGTGTGTGTGTGCGCGCACGTGCTCGCATGCATACACCTATACATGCACACACACACAAATAAAATATACATTTTGGAAAATATAATTATATATAAAATAATTAAAATATACAAATATATATTTACAAATATATATATATATCTTGTAAACCACCATTGTGGAAAGCAGCCCCTGATAACATTGTACAAAGTTACTGTGATTTATATGATATATATATATCATGTACAGCCATCCCTGCCATTCTGGCCACAGAAGACTGAACTAAATATCATCATGTATTCTAAAGCAGCCACAGTAAGCTGGACATTAGAAAGATCTAATCCTTTGAGCAGTTTGGAATAAAGCTGTGTGCCCAAGAGAAATGTACAATATTGTGCACTAACACCAACATAATTCACTCCTCTTGCTGAGGATGAAGTCATATGCACACAGAAGTGGGTCAGTAAAGCACTAAGTGCTGAACAGTTACTCTACCTCTCATTCAACTCGCCCGCATGCCCATCTTGAGAATGCTGGCTAGTTTCATCTTCTTTGTCTATGTGGATGGGTATTGACAAAGCTCTGCTCACCAACCCTTATTTTCTAATGACTGGCATTTCCAATATATTTTCTATATAATCACAAAAAACACCAGAGATATTCAGTATTTTAAAGCATTCACATATTTTTTTTGTTTTGTTTTGTTCTAATATAGCCAACCTCTGACTAAGCCATAATTATTGTTCCTTTATTGCAGGGAATGTAATTGAGTTTTAGAGAAGTAGAACAACTCCTCCATGTCGGCGGATCTTAGGTAGAAGAGCCCGAGTATAAGATGGTCTAGCTGGCTCTCGTGCTAGTTCCCTGGTCCCACAGCAGTGGCTCTCAAAGCATGGTCCCCAGACCAGTAGCAGCGAAGCATCACCCAGGACGGCAAATACGTGGGCGGGCCACATCCTCCAGGTCAAACCTTGACTGGGACCTAGCCATCTATCCTTTAACAAGCCATCCTCACCAGGACCCTGATACCAGTTCGGGTTTGAGAACCACTGCTTTATGCCATGACCTCTATATAACATTTAAAAACAAAGCAAAACAGTTTTGTGGGTGGACAGAATGACTTCCTAAAGAAGGTGTGCTGGATGTTGAGCCTTAGGAGAGGAATCGGAGTAGGTTTTAAAAGGATATTGTACTGTGTGTGGTGGGCATGCCTGTCATTCCAGTTCTCAGAAAGCTGAGGGTTGAGAGATCGAGACCAGTCTAGGCTGTATAGCAAGACTGTCTCAAATGAACAACAACGGGGCAGGGGGAGGGGGGCAATTCTAGCATTTAGTTCTGTTTTCTCTATTGTACTATAACCTCTGAAAGAAACTGCTACTTGGTTCAGTACTTAAACAGCAGACAGACAGACAGACTGACTGGATTTTGTTCAGCAAATGAAATTTTGATGGATAACATATTATGCCAGGATTTAAGTGAGACTGAACTTGGTATTTCTGTATTTTCTGTGCACAGTTTTCTTTTCTTTAGTGAATCTCCAAATTCTTAAAATCCTCAGTTGAAAATACTCATGCCTTTTCTCACATGGCTCTCAGCAGAAGCACCATGTGCTCCTGCATCACCGAAAACAGTGTAGACAATTACACTTACTATCTTTCACAACAAATTTATTACTGCCTGAACAAACATAAGAGGGACTCCACATTTAGTCCTGTTAAACTAAGAAGTTTTAGGAAATGGAGGAAAAAAATGAACTCAGACGAACAAGGAAACTAATGCATTTTGTTTTGTAAGAGATATGCTTATCCATTAAAATCAGAAGTAGGCACAAATTTAGTAAGTGGAAGGAAGGCTCTGAGTAGTATTCTCATTCTAATTCACAAAATGCAGAAATACTGCAGTTACTAATTCCTTCTATTAGAGATAATCCCAGTGGTGCAGAGGCCATAATGGAAATGTAATATATTTGTTTTCCATGGCAGAAATGCCCTGCTGTGGCTCTGATGAACACTGCCTAGCTATATGCCAATGCATATACGATTATATAATTTTGAATGTATACAGTTCTCCCAGAAAAAGTCCTATACACTTAAAAATTATATCTAAATTGATTCCGGGAGATAAAAGACACTCAGGCAAAAGATCCCACTCCCCCAAAAGAAGAAAATAATTTGCATTTACCTGATGTGTAAGGACGTTTCAACCAAACAAGAAGCAGATAAGGCATATTGTAATATAAATGCACATCTACATATATATACACACATAAAGAGAAAGAGAGGATGTCACACATATGGAGGTCACAGGACAACTTGCAGAAGTCAGTTCTTTCTTACCACACTGTGTGTCCTGGGACCTGAATTCAGGCTTAGCAGCAAATGCCTTAGCCAACTGAGTCATCTCACTGGCCCTCACATCCAGCCTACCAGAACTACATGGTAAGAGCCTGTTGTCGAAGACACCACACTCTTTCATTACAAGATACAACACGACCTGGGACTGATTAGGAAATTCTCCTCGAGCTGACTAGAGTTCATAGCGCTAGAGGGTGCCATGTAGGCTGCTGGAAAAGAATTTGGTGGTCTTAACCAGCCACAGACCCTTCCTGCCACAGTGTGCACGTGGTACAACAGTGACAAGACTATTTATGGGGTAACCAACTGATCTCTTGATTGGCTTTGAGGTCTGCCCTGCAGGAGGAAATTCATGCCTGGTCCTGGAAACATGCTCAAAACACATTGCTAAAGAAGTCATCAGCCCAAGGTGAGAACCTATAGATATTATTTTAGTAAAAGGTCGTGTGGGTCAAATGGCCTTCTAAATGTTCTGTTTATGTCCATAGAGTTGGCTGCTCTCGACTTCAGTCAGGAGGCTTCTTACTGCAGTGAGGAGTGGTCAGTGCAGAGATTAGTAAGTATTCAAAGTGATGAGAATAAGCAAGTGTGAATGTCCAGCTGTAGATGAAACGTCTTCTCCCCTCCACAAGGCTCGGAGAAAACCGAGTGAGGGGAGCAGGAAGAGTGTAAGTATTAGAGAATGGGATGATGCTATGATGTGTCCTTCAGTGCAGGCATGGATGCTGTAAATATGACCTCACAGCAGCTGTGATGACCTGCACAAGACGACACCAGTTTAAAATCCCAGCATGAAGACAGCGGGCTCCCAAGTCCCCACCCCTGACTGAGAAGCTATTAACAGTTGATGGCTGCTAAGGGAGAGAGAGTCATTTTCCTTGGGGAGCTGCCCATGCTTCATTGGCATGTAGGTGTCCAAGAGCCTTGCAGCCACACGGGTCATACTGATCTGAGCAGGCTGTGCTGCAAACTGGTGCCGTGGTGACACGTGGGATAGAGCTGTGGCTGAGGCCATGGTCTGGGTCCATGGCCCTATTGCAGCCAGGGTCTAAGTTGATGTCCTTGGCTCCTGTTACCATCAAAGGCTATGGGGATGTCCGGGGTCTGGCCTGCCACCTGAAGCCATGTTGGTGTCCAAGAGGCATGCTGCAGCTGTGCCATACTGATCTGAGTGGCCTGCTCTGCCACCTGAGGCCAGGATGACCCCTGGGCCCGGACTGCTATCCAAGGCCATGTCTGGGTCCGTGGTCCCATCGAAGCTGGGGTCTATGTTAACGTTTATGGCCCATGTTGGACCAAAGGCAACACAGAAGCCCTGGATCTGGGCTGCTACCTGTGGCCTTGTTGCTTTCTAAGAGCTGAGCTGCCACCAGAGCCACACTGATCTGAGTAGCCTGTGCTGCCACCCAGGGCCATGATGTCATCCAGGCCCACACTGCTGCCAAGGGCCATGTCTGGGTCCATGGTCCTATGTCAGCCAGGGTTGATGTCTGTGGCTCCTGTTACTGTTGAATGCCATG